TCGACCGGATCAGAATGTCATTTTATAACTGAATAATGTCATATTCAAGTATACAATCGTCTGCTATAGCGTTTGATTTGTCAGCACTTCATTGTTGTCTAGTTAAAGTTGAAATGAATTTTGAATGCGACCTACTTAGCGCATCCACGATGCAAATCCCAAACATACAATTGTGAGTGGTTATTTTCGGTGAGTGCCCCGATAACGTATACGTGTCGAGCATTCGTGCCTACCGAGTAGTGATAAGTTATTGGTGGATATGACAATTCTTGGACTCTTTCTCCGCCCAGCGGGTAAATCTGAATTATTCATCTTGTGAAACAAATGACTAGCGAGTTCCACAAATATATCGTTGTCATGTATGCTTGAAGTTAACTTATGAATTAGGAATAAACAAGTTGTTATTCTACAGTCGAGTTATCGACTTCGTTGAAAGTTTGGAACCGTTTTGAAGCTGGTCAAGGGATTTTGCTTAGGATCAAGTGTTCGTATTATAGCCGATTTCGTTTCAATTCTTCACTGTTATTGCCAACCGCACTAGTTTACTGCAGCAAAAGAACCATTGCTTTATTGCTGCAAGAGTCGTTTTCCGCTTCCGATATAAAATTCTCTTTCGGAATATAATTACAATTCGAATAACCTTTAGTGGAGTACACATCGAGACATTGCCGGTGTCTCCAACGAAACCACTGCCCGGCACAACGTCCATTCAAATGAAATGATTTCACAGCGAGTGACTCCAATTTATATCGTGACATTTTTGTAAATAAGCGTTCCACGTAAATTTTTCTTGAAAACAAATCTTTAGCATTGGTGGATTATTTTGCATACAAATAAAATGGCTCTCAAACATTTTCATCATAGATGTGAATTTTTACACATCAAACTTTCATCGAGACTTGTAAATCGCTCAAGTACGCTTCAACAGAGTTATTTGATTGGTAGTAAATGAGTAAATTGGAATGATAAACGGCAAGATATCGTGCAGAATAGAATAGAGGAACATTTCCGTGCAGTAAGGGAAATGCTGGAGTGATGTAATAGATTCTCATGCCTAATTTAATGGAGTGATATATTGCAGGGATCAAATCGCAACACTACGTACAGTGCTCAAATCGAACAAATTGACCGCAGAATCAGCGCTGGCATCGCTGAAAGACAAATACGAGAGTGAGAAGGCGATAACACACGATTTGCTGGAGAGGTTACGAAGGGAGCTTAAAGCATTCAAAGAGGATGCGGCCACATTCGCTTCTCATCGTGCCATGTTCACGGCCAGATGTGAGGAACTTCAAGCTCAGGTGTGTTCATTACCTCAACAACACTTAATCACAATGTTCGTATGAATTTTCTACGGGCAGATGACGACGTGATCATTTGTGAAACTGAACATTTATTTGTGAAGCAGCGAAACGCTTTGTGAGTGAAGAGCTTTCGCATAAAGTGGATGATAGTGCGCTAAGCACGTGTTCATGACCGACCGTTTGAACGAGCTGCATCATTTAAGGTTGATGAAATGGCCGCGAATCAGCGTGCTGCAGAAGACGAGAAGCGAACATTGAATGCGCTCTTGCGTATGGCAATTCAACAGAAACTAGCGCTCACCCAAAGGTACTTTCAGCATTCAGTATTGCGTTTCAAGAAATTTTTGGTAGCATTTATGTAAAATAATAACTGCAAAATCAACTCGTTAAGGTTGGAGGATCTGGAAGTGGATCGTGAAAGGCAAACCTTCAAGCGTGGCAATAAGGCGTCGAATCGACCGGGCAGCGGTAGTGACGCAACCGGTCAATTGCACCGTGTTCGCTATCCGGGACAAAACGCTCAATCGCAGCAACAACAACAAAGGAATCTCAAACGGGACTATTGAATGTTCTGTGTTTTTTTCTTGTTTGATAATGAAAGAGTATTAGTGCAAGAAATGATCTGTGTTTCATTTGTTTCATTCACTTTCAGCGATCATTATCACCAGTCTCATAACACCATCTCATCTGAAGCATGAATCGTGAATTGTATAAATAGGAATTTGTATAATGCGCCATGAACATTGACTGCGTCTTCTTTTGTAAATCAGAAGCGTAGTCAATTCGGTTCTTTGATTCACTTCATAAGTGATATCGAATTGTGATTTGTTGAATTCTTTTAAGTCCTGAAGTCTTCTTCTTCGTTAGCTTCTGATGGACTGACTAGCTTAAAGAATAGGAATATCGGACTTTTGCATAGAAGAGGGCTGAATA